CCATATAAAAATAAATGTGTTTGTTTGATTCCTGCCATATTTATATTACATAATTTCCACTTTTACATACATCAAGATTAAACGTAATTTGTATCAATCAACCTCATTTATATCTACTAATAATACTGTTATTTCTTCCAGTACTCTGTAATATATATCTTGATAGTTTTATCATACTATGCTAATGTGATATGGAAACTTGAACTGATACAAAAATGTGCCATGTTCTACAATACAGTATAACAGACTTGCTGACTGAATGGCTGACTGATATAATTTTTATTCCTGAAAAGATATGTATGTATGTGTATTCTTCAATATTTGATAACAATAACAGTATACTTTCAGAAATAGTTCTACTTTCAATCTATGTAACTAAACACCTCTATAAAGTGAAGGGATTTAAAATTGTACTTCATTTCACCACGAATAACTTAATACATAGTAACTATTACAAAGTTCTTTAATCATATATATCTTCTTTCTTCTTTTTTCGTTTCATTGTTGTTTAAGTACATAAGATTAATAATAAACAGTTTCATTTCAATTACCTTTTTTGAATCCATTTATCATTTTTAACGATTTATCATGTTAATATTTTCATTGAAAAATATAATTTTGGTTAACATTTATTGAATCACATGTTATTTTATCATTTCACTGAAGATAATCAAATATTCATAATCAATTTGTAAATATCGACTTAACACTGAATATAATTGAATGAAATGATAACAAAAAGAAACATTGTATTAAAGCGTACGAACACGAGACTGAATGTCCTAGGTTCGAGTCTAACGTGCGAGATTGTGGATGTGCATTGTTAAGGAGTTCTATACTAGGATGAAACAAATATCCAGTGCTTCTAGATTTTCAATGGTAGTCTAGCATTCATCCATTCATGATATTAATTTGAACTCAATAATCTCCATAACCCTATACTGATAATTTAAAACTATAGGTTTTTTTCCGAGATTTGTAATATCTGGAAATCTTTTTTCTTAAATAATAAATTAAGGTTGGTCAGAGAAAATTCATTCGAAATCAAAGAACTAGTGAATAAACTGTTTCAAATTATGATTGTGATCAGTATAGTACTTCTCACACATGATTCTACATACAGTCAAATTTTCCGAATTTATTACATCATTCTGAAATTACAATATCTTTACATTGGTTTACTCCAAATCTAATTGATCACATTATCAACTTGAATTGATTTGTGGTTAATTACGTTTAATGTTCATTGTACTGGTTCTGATTCCAAGCACCTCCAGCTTGTATTTCCTCATTTCTGCAGCAATTTGGAAGACTCTTCCGGTCTCCCACATTGTCCGGACATTCCATGTACCTATAAAACTTGTTGCTCTGGTTGTTAGAAGGTGCATCGGCCTCATGACTTCCGAAGGAACTCGGCTTTCATCATAATTATTCCTTCAACTCCTAGGGCAGAGTTTAAATGGTTTGAATAATTTTTTATGGTTAACGTTTTTAGCGAGTTGTTTTTCTACGGGACGGGGTCGCTAACCCTATGCCCAACCCTCCTCCTTTACCCGGGCTTCGGACCAGCAGCAGCCCCCGGAGGAGCTACAGGCTACACATGTAAACATATATATATGTGAAAGTCTGATTTATGTTAACATAATGAATTCCCATTTTACATTTTGTTAGTTCATTAGCTGATACTACTGGAAATACAAATAACGACGATAACGAAGAGAACGAATATCCAACTGGTTAGTTTATGACTATTTGTTTGGTTTTTTGTCTTTTTTTCTGTTAATATATAAGTTATTTATTTTATTCTCCAATTGTTAGCGTTTTCTATTGTTTATATAAAAGTACTAAACTGTCGATGCGTGTGTTTTTTTGTTTTTTTATAGACTGATTTATAAACATTTTATTTCAAATTCGCTGCTATTATAGTTATTGTTTTGTTATAATTAACAGATAAAATCAATGTTCAGTGGTTGTAGTTAATGAAACCATACTCAATCTAGGTTTTGTGCTTATTAGCATTCACCAACAAGAGATATTTTTAACATTGATGGAACTGATGGATCATACAGTAACTAAATCTATGCTACTCGGTTTCTTAGTCATAGATATCACTACTGAATCATTTAAGTTATAAATCAACATCAGTTTGTCAAAATGATCTACTTTTGATGTAGATGCTATCAATTCTTATCACTCACAGAATTGATGGATATAAAAGAAATAGTTTTTTTATCGAAAGTAATCAATACATAGTCAGATTGAAAGTAAAGGATTAACTAGATATGATCTTTTGTAAAAAAAGGTTCATATAATAATCTACAACAAATAGTTTCAATAACTGACAACATGAATAAAATAATATAAATTCGCGTTGCACAAGTTAGTGGATATCTGGGCTCAGTAGCTCAATAGATTACACATTGGGCATTTGAAGCAAGAAGTACTGGATTCGAGACTCGGAGTGAAAATCAATACATGGATGCAGTCATATCTAGTTGACAAGTAGTCTCTAATGAGAAGAAACAGACGTTCTGGATTCCACTGCAAGCTGATATCCATCTTTACTTCAATAACAGGAGTGATTTATGATATAGGATCAAATTTTCTTTGAAAATAATAACCATTTAATTTGACGACACTACATTATTGTAAGAGTTTAAGATGACTACTAGTTTGATCATAAAATATTCTACTAGGAGTCTCAAGTTTTACCATATCCTAGAAAAAAAACATTCTTAACAATAAAAAATGTCTTTTTCATACTTTAGTTACCTCTCTTTCATAAGTTTAGGCGAAACAAGAACGTGAATTTCAGTAAAGTGTGACTGTGTCTAACAGTGAAACTCAAGACGTCTGTTTATTCCCATTTAGGGATCTATAACTTAATGAAAATATCAACGCAATCCGCCTACAATGCATGCTTATCAACAGTATCTGATCACATGCAGTTGTTAAAATTAACAAATGAAAACTAAGACCCTTACGTAAACAATATTCACCGAATAGTATACTTTGTACAGTACTATAAATTCATTGAATTTCTGTAAACGTATGGGCCAACCACTGTAAACCTGGAAGCACTAGACGGTCGTTTCATCCCAATATGGGACTTATCAACAGTGAGCATTCTCCGCCTCACATGCGGGAATCAAACCCAGGACCTTCGGTCTCTCACGAGCGCATAACCTATAAACCACTGAGCTGACGCCCAGAACTATACAAGTCCAAGTTCAATCAATCCATAACATTGCGCGACCATCCTTCATTTTCTTAGATCGATAACTGCTTCATACCCGACATAGTTTAGCTCCAGTGGTCGCGGACTCCCTCTAGATCTGCGGAGATTTCTACTCCAAGCTAGTCACTAGTGAGCAGGTAATAATTTTCAGCATAGGGTTGTTCATGTTGCTCTCTTACTTATTACAGATTTATTCGAACGGTAATCAACTTCTGATTCTTTTTGTCGAATACAATCATCAAGTTGTATTAGTTATAATTTCAGACTTTTTGCTGTTATCCGTTTGATCGGGTCACTTGGCATTGAGATCTGCTAACAACGCCCTCACTTTATCCTTATGTGACTAATGATCCTCCTTACAACCAAAATGCGAGTGACTAAACAAAGACCTGTATCGTAACTCTTAATTTGTCTAAGAACTCTTATTTATAGTAGTTATTCAGAAGACAAAAATAGAAAACACAACTAATTTCTATTTTTATATTATCATTATGGTCACGTTGAATCAAAAACTCACTGGCTTATTGTACACCTACAATTCGATTACAACATACCACAGATAAAAAATTACAGTATATTATCAACTGGTATATTTGTTGAGTGAAATCCGAATCATAAGTTCATAATCGATTGACGATGATTAAAAAAATCCTGAAAAAATATGGCAGCAGTTAATGAATGCTCTTACAATAAGAGTAATATGAAAAACAGCTTAACTGAAGCATTTTTCAAGCATGCGGTAAAAACTCACATAATACTTTACCGTCATCCCCACTTATTTGTCTCAAGCTAACAATATCCTTCTATTATGATCATTATAAATCTCCATAGTATACAGTGATATTATTTGATAAATAGTCTTGAATACTTTTATAATATCTCTCATAGTGTTAAGGAAGTAGTTTGTTGTATAGAGCGATGTCCAACCTAATACTGATAAACAAACTTCCTTTACGCGAGTTCAACCATTCATTTGAGTGTAAAAACTGGATGTGAGAAAGTTTTTATCAGCAAACTGAATCTCCATTTTTACTCCAGTGGAGTGTCTCATTTCTTAGAACAGAAAGCCAGATCTTGACCGATTGCGTGCACTTGACATCTGACCAATGTTTAACTTGCCCAGTGTATCATAATTATTGTACAATCTAGACGTTTTCTGGTATTTAACTCCTTATTCTGCCCTGGAAAAAATCAACCTCAAGCTGGTATTAAATCAATCTATTTGACAAATTTATAAATTTCGAATGAGACCATTAATTATTTTTAACAAGTAGAATGGTTTGCATATTAATAAAAGAAATTATTAGACGCAACACCGACTGTTATTATGATCAGCAGTCAATGAAATCGTCGTTTTCTTCTGTACATAACTGAATAGGGATTTTCTCATTACTAAATCAAAATGCCGTATGGCATAAATAACTGAGAATTTGCTTTACGGTAGATTTTCTGAACTGTTAAGGGGGAATTATGGTATGTAAACTTTATCAAATTGATTTTTAAAAATATGGATGTTTACTAGGTATACTTTATAGTGATTCTAACGTACCATAAATTGAACTTAATATAAAAATTAATACTATTAAACTTTACTTCAGTGGTTAGATAGTATCGAGATTGTCGCAACATCTGAATGTTTTGTAAATCAGCAATAACAAACGTTCTAGCAGAATAACATGAATTCACTTTATTTCGTTCGGTTCTCGTCAGCTGCTTACTGTTATATCTAGAACTTTGATTTTTTGATATACCGCGTACAACTTGAGCACTCGAACGCTAGAACCCTCCAAGTTGCAAATGAGAAGACAGAAGACGAGTGAGATTCATCATTATAGTCATCCAATCCGCATACAGTGGTTTTTAACATTTGTCCAATAGGGAAGCTATACGGAGAGATTCTGGACTGTTCTTCCAAAGATGATTGGGTGGACTATATTCGGTTATTTCTGAGCTTCTCAGAGCTCCCTTGAGTTTACCTGTGGGCTTTCCTTACACCTCCCCTCTTTATAGTCTCTTGTGTAAGACTCTTCCCTCGGGTCCACCTGAAACGTGGTTAACTCATTCCTCTTGCGGTCTATCTTTCTTGAAGTTTTTGCCATTATGCCTTTACGTTTTTTATATTTTCTACATTCGTTCTCTTTAGGGCTTTTCTAAAATGAATCCACGAGCATTTGAAACGGGAGTCGGTTTTGCATGATTAATGTTCTACCATGTCTTATACACATCCCGACGTTTATCCGGGCTAAGAACAGTACATCTCCAACCCGACGTTCTATAACACCTGATCCCCACTTCCTATTACTTTGATACGACTTGACAAGTACCCTTTCTCCCATCTGAAAGCCGCAAAAGACCGTCCTATACTCGTTCGTAGGTCTATTTGTCTTGCTGGGCGGCAACATACTTTTAAAGGCTGTCCAAATTTTCCTCCCGAATATACACTCAGCTGGTGGTCTTCCGTCTGGCACTGTCGGATTGGAGGTAACTCTGTAAGACATAAAGTACTTACTGATCTTTTGTTCTGGAATACTCTGTCCCCCCTTTGACCAGAGCTCTTTTTATCGTATCCACGAATCTTTCCGCTTGGTCATTCGACTGAGGATGGTACGGAGGAGACTGTAGGCGCGTTATACCATTTTTGCTGCAAAACCGTTTAAAAGCAGATGATATAAACTGAGTGCTGTTGTCAGTTACCAAGATCTCTGGAACAGCAAGACAAGCAAACAATCCTGACAATCTTCTCATTATACTCTTTGACGTCGTGTTCGGCATGTCATATGCTTTCGACTATTTCTTGAAAGCATCTACAACAACCAAGTAATTTCTACCTTGTATTGGACCGGAGAAATCAGTGTGCATTCTTTGCGTCCGGTTTTGACCATGGTTGTGGTTCTGTATTGGTGGGATTCTTTGCGGCCTCTAGACAGGACCAACAACTGAGACACTTTTGTTTTATGTCATGGTCCGTTGACGGCCAATATGAGTAACAGTGACTTCACTTTATTTTTCCCTGAGTGCCCGCTATGGGTTCATAAACAAGTACTTGGTAAGTCAGTTTACATAATATATTATAATTTTAGTTATTTGTATATATTCTAGGCACACCTTGATGACGACTACCAACTAGCATGAAACTAAAGTCTAAAGCTTCCTGTCGACTACTACCGATTACTTAATGTTTATCTGTAACATTTGTTTGAATAATGAACTATTTCATAAAACTTACATCAATATCATTTAACATCACGTCTCACTTTTCATCAAAACTTAATACAATATTCTTTTTGTTGGTATCCTTATTATTTGAACAGATAGAATTGTTTATCAGTTATCAAATCGTAAGTATATTGAACAAGGATGGACTGCTGTGAATCATGTAAAACATAATGATGGTGATAGCAGTAATGACAACTTATTATTAGTTAGTGGTGATGGCGAATCTATGCATAACATCTCAGATAAAGTATTAAATGAGTCGACTGAAATACAACTTGATTTTATACAACATACATATTCGAATGGGGAAGTATTTTTACGAAAATATAACGACAATACAGGAGTCATATTGTATCCTTTTCTTTTGTGATCTTGAAAGCAAGACAAAATCAAAACTGAAGAGATGGTATTTCTTCCTAACTAGAGACCCTTCAAAAGTATAACATTGACAATATCTCCAAAACATTAGTAGCCTTCTTCACTCCGCTACGCAACGCAGATTAGTCCTGAGGAAGGATAAAATAATGTTGACGGTAAGAATATACAACTGAAACTAAACAATCTGTCGAATAGTCTTGGAAATTTTTTTATCCATTCAGCTAATCACAAATCAGTGAACATGAATCACTGGTTTATAATACTAGGACTAGGATGTACTTTGCACTGAAAGTGGAATTCAAGGTGAAATTATTCATAATACAGGAGAAAATTCATTCGTTAGTTCGTCTGTTTATTTGTTGTTAGACTGCATGTACTATTTATGCTTAAGCACTGATAACCTCGACAGTCAACTCGTCTATAGTAGGCTGGGACAAAGTCAAGGATTCCCAAACTAAGATGTGTCATCAGTCAATGAAGTCATTGACGACTAGAATGACCCATTTTACTGGGTGCAGACAACCTGATTATTATTTGCGTGATTATTGTAACTAGTGGCTGAAGACTAATTCCATTGTATCCACCGGATATCGAGTCAGCACCTACAGACCTTTCCATAGATGTCACTCCATCAACGATCGATAAATCAGAATGGACAACATAAAAATCAAGAGCTAGAAAGCAACAGGACCGGACAATATGCCAGCCGAAGCACTGAAGTCAGACATAGAAGTAACTGCAAACATGCTCCACACTCTATTAAGGAAGATTCGGGAGGAAGAACAAGTGCTGAAGGGTTGGAAACAAGGACACCTCATCAAGATATCAAAGAAAGAAGATCTAGTCACATGTGAAGACTACAGAGGCATTACACTACAATTAGTGCCAGGAAACGTTTTCGACAGAGTTCTGCTGGACCTGGTGGAAGATTCAGTAGACACTGCAAAGTCGTGCATGGAGTACAGCTGACAGATGCATTCCGAGTGAAAACCAGATTCAGACAAGACTGATTTCCATTTCTCTTTCTTCTGGCGGTTGACTGAATTATGAAGACCTCCACATCTGAGGCAGCATGGAATACAATGGACAACTTAGATGCAACTAGACGATTTGGAATTCGTAGGTGACGTAGCTCTTATATCTCATACACACGAGCAAATGCATATGAAGACAGCCAGTGTAGCTGAAACCTGCGCATCAATAGGCCTCAACATACAATAAAAGAAAAGCAAGATCCTCAAACACAATACAAAGAACACCAATCCAACCACACTTGATGGAGAAACTCTGAAAGAGGTGGAAACATTCACGTATCTGGGTAGCATCCTTAATGATGCAGACATAATGGTTAGGATTGGTAAAGTTAAGGAAAGCATTTCTACAGTCGATAAACATATGGAACTCAAAATAACTGTCAACCAATATCAAAGTCAGAATCTTCAACACGAACGCCAAGACAGTTCTAGTGTACGGAGCTGAAACTTGGAGAACTACCACAATTATAATCATAAAAGTACAAGTATTTATGAGCAATTGTCTACGTAAGATGCTGAATGTCAGTTTGCTGGATACCATTAGCAACAACCTACTGTGCAAAAGAACAAACCAGCTTCGAGTTGAAGAGGAAATGAGGAAAAGACGCTAGAAGTGGATAGGACATACATTTCGGAAATCACTAAACTTCATCTCGAGGCAAGTGCTAGCTTGGAACCCTGAAAGGAAATGGAGAAGAGGAGGACTAAAGAACACACTGAGTTGGGAATTGGAAGTAGACATGAAAAAGATGAATATCAACTGAAATGGATTACCCAGGACAGAGTTCAATGGAGAATGCTGGTGAGCAGCCTATGCTCCTCCACGAGAGGTAGGGGTAGCAGGCGTAATCAAGTAATCTTAATATGATTTGGCAAATTAAGTCGATGAGCAAATGTGTCTGGTTATACACTGCACATGACTGACTGGGTGGAACGGCATGTTGTTTTCATATATGGCCCATAACCTTGGGGGTATTGGTATATTTATCATTGGCTCCGCCGTATAGTTAAGCTTTACTGAAATATTTATTTAGGACTGATATTTACACAAATTGATAAGATATATTTAACTTGTTTAAGTACACTTAACACATTATTAAAGGAAAAATTAATCAACGATGGAGTCAAAGTTAGGGAGTTCAAATTTAGCATAGCTTTAAGCAAAAAACTTCAATTGTTAGCTATTGAACATGATACTTTTGTAAATTATTTATGAAAATTGACAAGCAGGTAAGTTTTATTTTAAGTTTTAAATTGATATTTTGATTTGGCTCAATCTAAAATTGGTTATAATGTGTATGATAACCCTATAAGTCTACTAATCAAAATAGTTCTTTTTATAATATATATATATATATATATATATATATATATATATATATATATATATATATATATATATATATATGTTAGACATTAACACCATCAAATGTCGGCTCAGTGGTCTAGAGGTCTAGCGTTTGCGTGCGAGATCGAAGGTCCTTGGTTAGATTGCCGCGGGTTTGCACTTCTGAGGAGCCCCATATTCGAAGGAAACTGTCGTCCAGTGCTTCCAGGTTTTCAATGGTGGTCTAGCTTAGATCGGTTCCTGATTTCAACTGTAAAGCGATATATTTTTTCTTAAATTCACTCGCTTTTTATACAAATATACATAAAATTTTAGAAACTTTGAAAATATGATAAATAGTTTACTTAATCAAATGTTAGTGTCTTGCTTGAAGAATGGTTACATTTCTACATTAATTTCTTACGGATTATAAATTATACTGTTTTGAAAGTGGTCTTAGTGATGGTAATCGTTATGTGTTTAGTTAAAAACAATGTTAAAAAGCATTTTGTGTAGGTTTCATAATTGTTTGACATCCATCAACAAATCATATTTCCAGTGTAGATGAAACTGATACTATTCTAGAAATCCAAAGGCTTGCTTTACTATGTCCCATAACTAAACGTGTTACTATTCAACAAATAAAAATTGTTGATGAATATCGGTCAGTATAAAATTTATATCGAAAGTTTGACTACCTTCAGCTGTCTAACATCAATTACAAAAGATCTTTCAGGATTATTTCAAGTAAATTAATTGCCTACATTATGGCTAGTGCGTCATTTCATGTCATGACGTTATCAGATATGGCTCAGAATAGAAGCCAGTGGCGATCCTGCTGCAACCTTCTTTTACTTTCTACATAAAGAATGGTTCTAACTTTCTTAACTGAAAGAGTCTTCTGGTTGTACATTTCAGTCCGCCTTATCTTTTCAGCCCTTCTCTTCCTACTTTCATTATTTTGTGTGGCGCATATGTACCTGGTGCCCTTTTGTACCAATATATATGTGTTTAAATAAAATAATAAATAACATTATGGCTAGATTAATATGATTCGATCAATTATGTGAACTAGATAGTATGCCATTAGTCATTGTTATAATTAATCTCCAATACTGGATTCCGTAACTATCTGGACTCAGTAGCTAAGTGAATAACTCGTTGAGTGTATGAAAAGTAAGTACTGAGTTCGAGTCCAAATGTGAATATCAACACAAGGATGCAGCTAGATCCAGTTGACAACTAGATGTAGAAGCGATGAAATGTACATCTCTGCTTAATAATACCATTAGTCAAAGTTAACTGACCCAAATATATAATGACATAAAATCACTCATCTTTCTTAAATTTCTGTGACTACGTTTAGATAAAATACCACTATTTAATTTAGTTTGTAGATCAAACATTTCGATATATATATGTCAGATTTATTCATTGAGCATAAGTATTATTTCATTATGGACTATATAATTAGACATTGTAATGCTTGGTTTGATAAATGCTTGTGACATTGACTTCTTGGATAGATTTTTACACTCAGTAGTCTACACATCCTCAAGATGACAACACAGTAGTTAAAACTTAGTTATTGTTATCAGCGATCATATAGAAAGTTATCAGTAGCATTTTAAAGCTCCCTAAAAGTTATCAGAATTAGTGGTAATTTAAATGTTCCACTATTAAAATAAAAAAAGAATATAAATACCATATACGCTTTTAGAATTTACGATAAATTACCAAGAGTATTAACTAACTAAGAATAAGTCAAGTACTCTTTGTCTATTTTTTCATGTTTTTCAGGGATAAAGATTAGTATTTCCTAACAAATACTAAGCAATTATAATAGTTTTCATTAAACTGAGAACAAAAAATTCCATTTTCTAACTATTGAAGATATAGAATATAGCATTATATAATAAAGGTTATCCTCAACATTATCGATGTTCGATAAGTGTATGTTGTATCCATAAACTTCAATCATTTCTCGGTCTATTTAGTGAAGGAGTGATGTATACTAGTGTTTAATTCACAGATTATATTTCAAACCCTGATTTTGACAATATTTGTTTTTCATTATGGATGTCGAGGTACGCTACACTGACATTTTCATAACACACATGCTGACAACTTGAGATGCTTAAAATAGAAACTTTAGTGAAAGTTACATTGCAATATCCAGCACACAGCTATTAATTAATCAGAATAATAAGCGAAATTACTGGATACAACAGGCTTAATGAACATTGAGGACGTTGTGAATGACCTGAAGCTTTAATAATTAAGAACATACTCATGTGATCGATATTGAAGAATAACTTCTTATTAAATGTGGTAAAACAATTTGGTTGTTTACTTCAATGAAGTAGATAGTGTGAGGAATATGGTTCGTGTTTTCAGCCTGACAACTAAGTATTTCAATCACCAACCTACTCTACTTTGAAGATTTACAAGCGAAAAAACAGCGTTAGAATAGTATTCAATCATTTTGAATGTACTGACAAGCTTATAACTACAATTCACGTGGGTGTTGCTTCATAGAAAAGGTTCCCATTTATTTGAAAAATTCTACTGCAACAAAGATTAGAAAAAAAGAATTATTTAGAAGTAGATGAAATATACGAAACAGTATACTGCCGAGACCAAGCTGGTCACATTCAAATCCTTCCTACACCTAATAACTCTCTTATCTCCATGACTAACCCTTCTCATGTCCCTTTTTCACCTCACACCTCTAGGGCGAACGATTTGAGTACGCGGAACACTGTGCCGAATAGAACAACAGGCCTCCTTAGCTAGGACTTTAGAATCTCGCACCATGGATGTGTGCTGCGTCTTCAAAACGCGCATATAGGATCCGAGTAGCGTCGTTCATTTGACCTCACCATGTCAAAATGAACAACCCACTCGATTCACGCTTCATGTGTCTGGAGACCCTGATGCTGCCCTTTGCGGCCTCTCTGACGTAGGTATAGCATTGAGTCCTGGGGCAGAACTAGCTCTTTTGGACTGGATTCCATTAGACAGTCGTCTGTGTGCTGTTCGATTAAACGGATCAGTAAGAACTCGGAAATATAGGGAAACTCGTCGTTGCCTCTTCGTCGTCTCTGCCTACTCTCCCACTGACTGCAGCTCAGACGATATAAAAGATGAGCTTTACAGAAAACTTTCCGACCTTCTCCGAAAAGCTAGGCGCTCTGATGTAGTAATAGTGACTGGTGACTTTAATGTTCAAGTAAGTAAACTAAGTGAAAGGGTGAAGACACCCGGGTGGATTCTATGGTGCCGTGGCTCAAAAAAACAAATAATGGCGACCGTCTGTTACAGTTGTGCTCAGATAACCGTCTGTTTCTTGCAAATACTAACTTTAAGCATAAGGAAAAACATCTTTTGACATGGCGACCCCCGAATTCGTACCAACGTTGGACCCAAATAGACCACATCGCTATCAGCGACCGAAGACTATCGCTCATTCTGGAGCACATGTTTAGATTCAGATCATGCTCTATTGCGAGCGCGTATCTCTCTGCGCCTTACTGGACGTAGGAAAGACCCTGCAATGAAGCCTCTTAGGGTTCTACTTAATGATAGGAAAGCTAAGAATATGTTTCAGGAACAGCTAGAAAGACAGTTAGACAGCCATGTAAGTTGTGTCCACTCGGTAGCAGTATGGAACGACATCCGAAAAACTGTGGAAACAGCATTCATATCTGCTGGTACGATAAACCATAAGGTTAGGGAGAAACACTGGGTCTCAGCAGCATCTACCGCACTGATGGATGCTCGAAAACTCATCCCTTCTGGCTCTGAACATAACGAAGAGCGGAGTCAGCCTAAGCGCAGGTTAATAAGAAGCCTATGCAATGATCGCGAACAGTGGTGGATAGCGAAAGCAAGAGAGATGGAAAAGGCAGCGGCAATAGGCAACAGCAGACAACTGTTCAAACTTGTTGAAAAAACGATATTAGGAACCCAACTGTTAGCGAAACTATCTTCGAAAAAAATGGATATATTATTCATTCTCAATCCAGAAGATTGGATCAATGGGCAGAACACTTTAGGGATCAGTTCAACTGGCTTCAGCCACACTTCGGTTTCCCAAGATCCCCAGTCGAGCTGAATGGCAAGTTAATGTAAGTACACCAAATCTTTACGAGGTTGAAAAAGCTATAGGAAATCTGAAACGAGGGAAAGCAGCAGGACCTGACAGGTTTACCCCTGAGATTTTTCAGGATGGTGGTCCAGTACTAGCAGCGACATTGACTGAGGTTTTAGTAGAATCTGGGAACTGGACGTAATTCCATCTGACTGATCCCAATCACTGATTGTGCCAGTATATAAGAAAGGACAAAAGTCCTCTTGTGACAATCACAGAGGAATCAGTTTGACTAATATAGTGTCTAAAATATTAGCTTCAATAATACTTCGACGCCTAACCGAAGATTATGAAAAACAGACTAGAGAAAACCAGGCTGGTTTTCGACCTGGACGTGGTTGCATAGACCAGATATTCACTCTACCTCAGGTCCCAGAACATAGACATACATTCAGACGTCCCACAATAGTAGTATTTCTCGACCTTAAAGCGGCATTTGACTCTGTTGATCGGGAGGTTCTATGACAGAGTTTGTCACTGAAAGAACTATTAAAGAAGTATGTTAACCTTATACAGGCTCTCTACTCGAACACAACTGGTTGAGTTGAAGCTTATGGCGAACTGTCATCAGAATTGATTACCTCAAGTGGTGTTTGTCAGGGCTATCCACTATCTCCATTTTGGTTTAGCTTTATTGTAGACGTGCTTTTAGAAATAATACTTTCCTCATCCAAATTTAGAGGGGTTGAACTCCTACCAGGAGATTCATTTGTTGACTTAGAATACGCCGATGATATTGTTCTATTTGGTAAAGACGCTGACAAAATGCAAAGTCTTCTGACCACTATAAGCAACAATGCAGGCATGTTCGGGGTGCGATTCTCCCCCTCGAAGTGCAAAATGTTACTTCAGGATTGGGTTGCATCGGCACCTGAACTAATGATAGGGAGTGAAATAGTTGAGCGTGTTGACCGCTTCACTTATCTTGAGAGTCTCATCAGCCCTTGTGGTCTGGTATGTGACGGAATCTCAGCACGGATACAGAAGGCCCGTCTAGCTTTCGCCAACTTGCGTCATTTATGGCGTAGGCAAGATATCCATCTATCAACCAAAGGATGGGTTTACTGTACAGCACCTACTTCCGTCCTACTTTGTGCCTGTGAAACATGGCCGGTCAGAGTAAAGGATATTCGTAGGCTACTAGTATTCGATCATAGGTGTCTTCGAAGCATTGCTCGCATATTTTGGGACTGCCTAATAAGTAATACAGTTGTTAGGAAACGGGTATTAGGTAAGGATGGCGAATCGATTGATGAAGTAGTGAAACTTCATCAGTTGAGATGGCTGGAACACGTGTTACGTATGCCCAACCACCGACTGCCCCGACGTGCAATGCCTTATGGTGTAGGAGTAGGTTGGAAGAAAGTTAGAGGCGGCCAAACCAAAACATGGCATAAATCCATGAAGTCACTGACAAGTGGACTGAGCCATGTTGGTAGGTGTAGACTACCTGGTTGGGATTCGCGAGATGATAGCAATCGATGGTTAGAGACCTTGAATGACATGGCTCAAAATTGTTAGCAATGACGCAGGTGCATCCACTCTTTGTGTTCTCCAAAATTCTAATCTTCTGAATTCTTCATGTCCCTTTCTTTTTTTCTCTTTTCAAATTTATTTTACTGGATTATACCCCCTGAATAACATCTTCGAACCCTAATCTTTCGAATTACTGCTTATACTCTTACTACCTCTACGCCTATGAGATTTTAATCGATAATTGTATCTCTGTGTTAATGTGGTATGGCAACTCGAACTGATGCATGTACGTACGAAGTTCTACGTTGTAACTGACACAGTCCAGTGAAGGCTAGGCACTCATCACGGGACTTGGCGTTCCTGCGGTCTTGGAGGGGGGTCACGGATGTGCACTGCTAAAGAGTCCTATACCACAGAGAAATATGCATTCAATTATCCTTGGGTTTACATGGTTTCCTCAGCTGACGTCAACTGAAAAACAAAAGCTCACATATTCAAAGCATATTTTTCACATGATTATAATGTTACTTATCATAAATGAAGTGAGAAGTACTCTTCGATATTAACGTCTTTTTTCTACGTGTTAACCGAGTAATTTGGACAGAAACACAATCAAGAGCCATGTATGTGCACAGGTTTCGATTTGTTTGTCTGCTTATAAATAATAACAAGATCATGTCTAAATTCCTCGCAGAATAAATCCAAGATCACTCATTCACTGTCACTTTTGTTTATCAATATCTTTTATTAGCAACATCTAATTTAAAGTAGAGTGACAGAATAAAAGCTATAAATCCATATAATCTTTAGTAAATATTCTGTTCAGTACATCTTATAGAAGTCTGCTAACATCATAAAGCTCTCACCTATGGGTGAGAGCTTTATGATGTTATTATTTATGAAACTAATTATGAATATTATTCCAGAATCAAATGTGCATTAGGTCGAACAATCTTTATAAACCTTTCATCTTTTCTATGCTCTGTGGTATGAAATAACACAAAACTCCTTAACAAACATTCACAACATCCAGTTATCCAACTGGTAATCCAGCAATCTTGTTTTTACCTAGCGAAATTAACACCAATAATAATGAACCAGTTGGTCTACTATTTATTGTACATGATCTGTTAAATCTGAATATAACAAAAGTTGGAAAAGAAGATGCCAAAATAAATCATAAACAAAAATCTGCTTCTTTTAAAGTGTTAAATAATAATACTAGTAAAATGAAATTGACCAATGCGGATGTACAGCCAACTGTTGGCCAATTAATCGGTGTATTCGATAGCAATATTCATGGGGTAGTTTATGACAAGAAAAATAATATAAGGTAGTTGTCGTTTAACTCAAATTAATGTTATAAAGTTTAGTTACTTTCTGTCAGTAATTATCTCATAAACATTAACTTATCATATTGCGATTGCTCCTTTTGTAGTTATTTGGACATTTCATGTAAATTCCAGTTGCTGAAATTATTCAAAAGCTTCAAATTTCGAGCTAATCGTCTAAATTTTAGTGAATGTTCTTACAAATGACCCAAACGCTTTAGCAACTTCGTTCTTTGTTGCTCTAATATAGCAATTTTATTCCTAAACAGATACTGGCAAAATCATTTGTATTTGATATCGAGAAATGAACGTGGCTACACTTTTCCGGTTGTAGTAACAGTAGACTGGATTTGTTTTTCAATATCATACGGTGTCGTGTTCCCCTAAAATAATTTTAGACTTTCGACCTCTGTTGTGCATATATCTAAATGGTTTGACTACGTAAATGGAATACAATGTTAGGTTGAAATATCCCCGTGGGACGTATTTTGATCAATCTTGGTCTAATAATGACATATCATTAGGTGACAGTAGAAAATTCTCACAAACTAAATAGGACATTTTGAATACGCGTAACGGACTGAACCATTAGGGAAACCAATTTCAGAAAAACAATAATTAATCGAATTGTACACCGGACTATGCAAATAAGCAGATCAATTTCAAGAAAAAGCACTACATGCAGGACAGAAACCATCCATAATTGATATTTCTCTATAACTAAGAATGTCACTAAATGAAAAATTACTTCTGAATCTACCAATAATGAATATTACTTCACGAGACTGATCCTCAAAACCCAATCAATAACCAAGGGAGATTTCAGATATCTAACTAAATAGACAATATATATATATATATATATATATATATATATATATATATATATACACCTAGTTCAATAGAGTTATTCGTCAGTTAGTGAACACTAAAGTTCCTGAAACAACCAATGGATTTTATAACCTTATTGTCTGACATAAGTTACCCTATTAGCGAAAACCATTAAAAATTCTGAAAGCAAATAGCAACAACTAAATGGATTGCTGAAAGAATTTTATTTAAGACATAATTTTAACTCACGCACTCAGATCAGAAGACAACTATCCACTTAATATACTTGATAGTTGTTAATATGCCATATGAATGAGATCTTTATCAACAGATAAGTACACAATTCAGACTATATAAAATTGACAAATAGTTCAATTAACATGTGATAAATTCAGTTCATTCAAACCGAAACCGGATTTCATTTGTGTTTTTTGAAAAAAAGCTAATAATTTGACACATTGGCTTTGTTTATTACCATTTGAGGCAACGCATGAATTAGAAATTATTAGCTAATTTGTTTTAACGCATTTACCAAATACAGTATCATGAAATCAGCTCTTCACCAACGTTTATTCATTAGTGATGCTACCCAGCTGGCCAAACTGAAATTACTATCTACTTAAATGATACGTGAATGTTTTAGTCATTAGTCCACTAATTCTATTTGCAATTGTGTAAACCATAATAACTTATGCATTAAGTTTAAGACCATGACAGTAACTAACACAAAGGAATTTATTTATTTCAGATTACAATATAATCATAATGAAGGTGTCTATTTCAAGCAACCATTGGATAGATACACAAGGGTATGGAAATGGTCTGGAGAAAAACATGTCCATGCACCACCTTTTCAACCACTGTTAATAAAATTAAATGATATTATAACATTGAAAATTTATCGGTTTAATAAAATCCATCTACATTTCCAAACAATGAAAATTATTTGCAAATTAGACCTCACAAGTAAACAGTTGAAATTACAATGGATAAACACAGAGCAGTATAGGGAACCAAAATAAGTTTGAACATTTTGCCTGACCGTATCCTATAATACATGATAACGAATTGGATGAATTAGAATAGTTGTAGTGTATTGATCGCCACTTGCTCATAACTAACACGCTGTTGTTCTTACGGAGTATGTAAATTACTTGCATTTTTAAATACAACCCACATTTTTGCGTGAATTCACCTTTTTAATGATATGGGACATTGTACCATGACCCAAGTTATGACTACAGCTCATTATCATTGGTTTGAAAAGAAGCTGAGTCTGATTTTGCACTAGTATATTTCTGGAAAATCGAACGTCTGAAGTCGCTTGGCATATTTCTCGCTTGTCAAGTATTAGACTACGCACACACCAACAACTAATGCATTTTACTGCCAACAACATGTGACAGCAGAAAAAAACGGACACCACATTGAATCTACAATTATTTGACCATATTTACCTTGGTAGCGTTTCCACAACAAACTGAACTGAGTGTAACATTGTTATAAACGCAAGTGAAGTCTAACATGAAGTGGATCAGTGGACAAAATTTCGAAACTCAAGTGACTGAAGAATGGAGATACTACTTCCAAATATGGTACGATCGATGGATTGGAAAAGGTTAAGAATGCATTCGACCGACCTTACTATAACATGGGGTTACATTACAGATACATCAATACATTTGAGTATTGTGTATAGTTAAGCTTTACAACAGCATAGAACTGAGGCAAGGATAATCATATCCTTGAAGTAATATAGTACTTACACCGGCAAACATTTTCAGGTCACTACTGTATACTACAGGAACCCACTCAGCATTATTGTGGATGCCTTTTCGCATTGCCGGTACCGAAGGTACCACGGTCTATAATCCTTCAAAACAGGTGTCTGAATTTGCAAAGTGATTCGATTCTACGTACTTTTTGTGGATTTGATTAGACAATATTCTCGCACAAAACTGATGCAGCAAAGTTACCGTGAAGAGTTGCATTATGCAAATTAGGTGGATGTTACGTTTTTAGTTCAACGTATATTAAATAACGCCTTGGAAAAAAAACTTAAGACTCGTTGATTGATTTAAAGCTATTCCAAATTAACGTGTTCAGAGTGTAATATGGCGATTTCGGCTTACGCAAATTTGTCAGATCATATGTTGTTTATTGATAGATGGGTAATCAATATTCTTGTTTTAGTGAGTCGTATTACATTTAAGTACTATGGTGCTTAACAAAAGATAACCAATGTTTGTTGGAGATGGAAATAATGACTGTGAAACTGAATTGGATACCGACACTCCCAATAATCCAAGCGAAATTTTCTAGAAAATAAACTGTCTCTATGGAACAAAACAGTCAACGACTAACAACGGATCCAGATAAGACTTCAGAAACATGTCACCCAAAGTCAACAACTATTGGTTGCGATAGTCATGCAGACCCCAACCATGTAGTCTGCATGTATCAACATGACTCAAACCAAAAGTTAGTGACTTCAAGGACTATTGCCACGTTTTGCTTTGGCCACCCCCAACTTTCTTCCAACTAATCCCAACACTAGTCAGCATTGCGCACTGTGGTAATCGGTGTTCAGACATACGTAACGCGTGACCTAACCAAAAACCACATCAACTGATTTACCATCACTCCCTAACACCCTACGTCTAACCTCACTATTACTTACCTGAAGATCCCAGCAGATGTGAGCAATATTTCTAAGGCATCTGTGGTCAAATACTGGTAACTTACGAGTATCTCCTGCTCCTAATGGCCACATTTCGCAGTCATAAAGTAGAACAGAGCAAACTGCTGCACAGTATACTCGTCCCTTAATTGGTAGACGGATATCTCACCTTCCCCATATGTGACGCAAGATGGCAAAAGCCAAACGAGCTTTTTGAATCCGTGCTGAGATTTCGTCAGACACCAACCCATTAGGGCTGATCAGACTGCCAATATACGTTAAGTTGTCGACGCGTTCGACTACTTGAGTCAACTCGGAATACTGACTGATCGTTTAATAATAGCTTATGGCCTAGTATAGCCGTTCCAGTTTATAACACAAATATCAGCCTCCGCTACATGGATCGTATATTTCAGATATACATGTTTTATACACAAGTAGGCCAGACCGTACCACACCATAAAATGAAAAATAATAACTGTACAAGATCAGGCCAAAGGTGAGTTCGAGTGTGAGGCTCTAACTAAAAGGTCGATTGTGGATTAGGAATAGTAAATCGCATAACAGTAGCCACTAGGTCAAATGAAAAATCGCGAAAAAAGGAATGCGAATATATATATATATATATATATATACTCTAGTTACTAAATAACTATTCACTTATATGTAATAATAGTCCATAAATCACTCCTAGAAGTTGCCATTCTTCTTTTTTGTTTGGATATGATATTTATACGGGGGTTAACGATGCCACAAGTTTGCTCGCATGGAGGTAAATTGTGACTGGACCTGCAACCTAACAAATGAAAGCACTACGCACAAAACCCCTATCTTAACAAGTAATTTGTTAATAAGTTGGCATAATCAATATGTATGCCTTTTACCATAGTAGCAATTGACTTTTTTTATTCCTATACAATGACTAGGAAAATCCACGAAAATTGCCTGAGGAAAATAAGCATCTCATCCTACCGAAGAAAACGTTCCACAGCAATGCCTTAACAGTTATCTTAGTTCTACTGACGTGTAGACTAGTCATGATATATAAATTGATATAATAAGGGTACAGCATAACATACGATTGTGTATCTAACTAGACCTCAATCTCTACCAAGCTGAAGGTTATCACAATTAAGTGTCGCTCACGGTACTTGGTAATTCTAGTTTGAATACTTTATGGAAAACCCATCAACTTGGAAATATAGGTGAGCAATTCATTTGAATGTATAGCACTAGTTTTCGATGATAACTTTACAATCATTCATTGTAAGCGACGAGGAATACCTAGAACGGTATTCTGAATATGATGAGGACTTTATTAGCTATAATCGATCCTCAGTTCTTTAATTAGACTACACAATCTGAAAGGGTAATAACTCTATTTAAGATGAAGAGATCTATCCCGTTTACGGAACGCAGAAGGACCTTAAAAACAACTCGTACTAGAAAGATTAGGTTGATTAAAATATATGGACGAACATAAGTTAATATATTCCCTTCAAGGAAGATTTGGTTGTGAAACAAAGATAAAAACATGCTTTATTCAAAGCATATTTGTGGGTTCACTTAAAGGAACGTTGGAGCATTTTTCATTCAGTCTTCATGTCATACTACAATCTTAAACCGCACTAGACAAAACATTTGTAAACGAAACGTCTTGGTTGTTAAATTTTGTCGAATTAGATGGACACCTTCCTACTTAAACACACAAAAATTGGTACAAGGAGGTCAGTCAGCGACAACGTAGGACCAGGCACATTTATGCATCGGTCCAAGTTGCCATACCTCGTTAGCACAACAAGATGAACACCGGATTCATAGAAGTAATTAATTTACTGGTGGTAGTAGTATATAAATTATAGGTTGTATATAAGGATATAGTACAGGAAGGAAGAGAGGTATGAAGCAATTTTAGTCTCAAGGTTTAAAGGAAGATAAAGATTGTATACACCTACGCCATTGTGATCGATTCTGAGCCATGTCACCTAGAGTCTCCAACCACTGGTTTCGATAGTCACCCGGACCCCAACCAGGTAGTCTGTATCTGCCAACATGGCTCAGACTAGAAGTTAATGACTTCAAACACTGGTGCCATGTTTTGGTTTGGCCGCCCCTAAATCTCTTCCAACCATCCCCTACACTACTCAACAATGCGCGTCGTGGTAATCGGTGTTCAGGCATACGTAACACATGGCCCAACCATCTCAGTCGATGAAGATTCATCACCTCATCAACTGATTTACCATCGTTCCCTAATACCCTGCGTCTAACCTCACTATTACTTACCCGGTGATCCCAGCAGATGCGAGCAATATTTCTAAGGCATCTGTGGTCAAATACTAGTAACCTACGAGTATCTTCTACTCTTAATGGCCATGTTTCACAACCGTAAAGTAGAACAGAGCGAACTGATGCGCAGTATACTCGTCCTTTAATTGATAGACGGATATCTCGTCTTCGCCATAGGTGACGTAAGTTGGCAAAAGCCAAACGAGCTTTTCGAATCAGTGGAGAGATTTCGTCAGACACCAACCCATTAGGGCTGATCAGACTTCCAAGATAAGTGAAGTTGTCGACGCATTCGACTTCTTCACTCCCTATCCTTAGTTCAGGTGTTGACGCAGGCCAGTCCTGGAGTAACAATTTACATTTGGAAGGGGAGAATCGCATCCCAAACATCTTGGCATTATTACTGAGTTCCAACAGAAGACTCTGCATTTTGTCAGCGTCTTCACCAAACAGGACTATGTCATCTACGTGTTCTAAGTCGCTTAGTGGTCCCCCTGGTAGGAGATCAATTCCTGTAAATTCAGTCGAAGAGAGTGTTATTTCCAGCAACAGGTCTATAATGAAGTTAAACAAAAATGGTGATAGTGGACAGTCTTGACGGACACCACTTGAGGTTGTAAAATCATATGACATTTCGCCATAAGCTCTCACTCGACTGGTAGTGTTCGAGTAAAGATCCTTCACAAGGTTTATGTACTTCTCAGGTACACCTTTCAATGACAGACACTGCCACAGAACCTCTCGGTCTACAGAGTCAAATGCTGCTTTCAAGTCAAGAAAAACTATCATTGTCGGACGCCGATAAGCGTGTCTGTAGTGAATATGTGGTCGATACAGCCACGACCAGGTCTGAAGCCAGCCTGATTTTCTCGTGTTTGCAGTTCACGAGTCTTTGTTAGGCGCCCGATAATTATTGAGGCTAGTATTTTAGATGCTATGTTAGTCAGACTAATCCCTCTATGGTTATCGCAGGATGATTTTGACCCCTTCTTATATATTGGGACAATCAGTGATTGTGACCAGTCAGATGGGATTACATCCGTCTCCCAGATTTTAGCCAGAATATTAGTCAACCTAATCGCTAAAATCGGACCACCATATTTAAAGACCTCTGGAGCCAATCCATCTGGACCAGCTGCTCTTCCTCGTTTCAGATTACCTATAGCCTTTTGAACTTCAAGTAGGGTCGGGGGGCCTACTTCAATGTTCCATTCAGGTTTTCTGGGAATAGTGGGTAGTTGTGCAGTAGCTGAAGGCCAGCTAAACTGCTCCTTAAAGTGTTCCGCCCATCGTTCTAAACGTTTGGGTTGAGAGCAGATAAGGGTTCCGTCTTTTTCCGAGATTGCCTCACTTACACTTGACTTCTTAATTCCGGTTTCTTTTATTAGTCTGAATAGTTGCCTGGTGTTCCCTACAGCCGCTGCCTTTTCCATCTCTTTTGCTTTCGTTGCCCATCACTGCTCACGACCATTCCTTAGACTTTTAGTTAACCTAGATCTAATTTCTTTACGCTCTTCGTGGTGTTCAGAGCCTGATGGGATGAGTTTACGCGAATCCATCAGTGAAATAGACTTAGAAGAAATCCATTGGTTTTTTGGAGCCCTATGGTTTAAATGACTAATAGATGTTACTGCTGTTTCCACAGCTGTTCGTATGTCTTTCCAAGCAGCATCTGTGTCAGTCTTGTTTACAGAACTGCCTAGATGTGAACTCAGTTGTTTCTGGAATTCGCATTTGGCTTTCTCGTCCTCCAGTTCAATCCTAATGGGTCTTCTTAGTGTACTTTTCCTGCGTCCATTGAGGCGCAGACAAATGCGTGCTCGTATTACAGCGTGATCAGAGTCTAAACAAGTATTCCAATACGAGCGACAATCTTCTATTGAGCCTCTCCAACGATGACTGATGACAATATGGTCTATTTGAGTCCATCGTTGGTTTGGTGCAGGTGGTCGCCATGTTAGACGATGTCTCTCCTTATGTTTAAAATTAGTGCTTGCTAAAAATAAACGATTGTCTGAGCATAGTTGTAACAGACGATCACCATTATCGGTTCGTTGAGCCGGAATACTAAAACACCCACCTAAATGTCTTTCTGTTTGATTCAGGCTGCTTACCTGGGCATTAAAATCACCCGCTACGACTACTATGTCTGAGCGCTTAGCTTTCTGAAGAAGCTCAGAGAGCTTTCTGTAAAAGTCATCTTTTACTTCATCATGGCTGCAGTCAGTGGGAGCGTAGGCAGAAACGACAAAAAGGCAACGACGTGTGTCTCTATCTTTCCGAGTTCTTACGGAGCCATTTAGCCGGACAGCACACAGGCGACTGTTAACGGGGATCCATTCTAGTAGTGCCTGTTCTGCCCTTGTACTTAGTGCTATGTCTACACCTGCAAGTCCGCGAGAACTAGCCAACGGGTCGCCAGATACACGGAGGGTGTATTTCGTTGGCTGTCCATTTTGGCGAGGTGAGGTCAAGTGAATGACCACACTGGGATCCTGTATGTGTGTTTCGGAGACACAGCATACATCAATGGTACGGGATTCTAGGATTTTAGCTAAGGAGGCCTGTTGACCGATTTGGCATAGGGTACGTACGTTGAAGGCTCCAATGTGTAGTTTGGAGCGAGGTTTTAGTAGACCTGGGACAGCGTTTCGCGCACTAGAATCGTTGGCCATGGTGACACTTGAGGAGGAAACCGGAACAGGAAGTTTAGTGTTGAAAGTCAAGGTAGAAGGAATAGTAGGAATTGAAGAAGGATATTGATTATGAATACAGTGGTCTTGAGTGCTGTTAGAGGTATGAGGGCAGTTATCACTTCCCGGTTGCCCACACCGTGGAAGGGTTCTCCTGGGGGTACCTGAAAAGGAAATTGGGTTAGAAGTGGTCTTAATGACCTGAGAGCGTGACCGCAGTGCCCAAGGAACAACTGCTTGAGATTGGTCATACACGACCTTTTTATGGGTAGTTTTTATGTTAGCTCCGTTCTTCAAAAAACCTTACCGCCGGAGACGGATATCCGTGGGATAAGGCGAGGTGTGCATTTTAAGGGTTGACCTTTTCTAACCCCACCCCTCCTTGTGGGAAGGCAGCATCGCTGTCATGCTGGTTGTCTGAAGGAAACACCTTACTGCTGTCACACCTCTGTACAGTCGGCAGTACGACTTCGCCTTCGGGCCTTGGGTTTGCTGCTTTTAGTCTCACCGCTCTTCAACCGACCTGTCTGGCATGGTAGGACCTCGAGGAACGATTGTTCCAGCCAACATAGCTCGATTGCTTCGTCACGATAGGCAAGCCCGACCATTACGTCAAGGTAGCAGCAACGGTCGGGGTACAAGGAGGTACCAAACACAAACGCGCCACACAAATCATTCGATTTGTAAGGGGGCTGGAATATTACCCGGGCGCACAAACTAAAGCAAGTGGTTTTCTAAGAATGCCACTCTTCCAGTCTTCGAACCAGAGATCTAGTCCACAAGGCAGTGAAGCAACGTAAAGAGATGCAGTCTCATGGTAGTCGGTGACTAATAATTGATTCATACGCTATTTGTCTTCTTAGGAACCTTGAGCCCATGTGAACCATTGCTTTGGAGTCAGTGTTATCCAAATACCGTAGGAGGGTTCTCCGAACCCACCAACCCATATCAAGTGAGAGACATTCACTTTTCGTCCCCTCAATTTCGTAAACAACACCCCCGCTGCTGCCGTATATGCATGACCATGTGAGAGTAATTCAAGGGGGAGACGGATTCCCTGCTTTCGACCGTACTATGGCATTTGGGGGCAAAAAGCGCTCGTTCCGAGGACACGAACCCGCAACCTCAAGAATAGAAGCTCAACACACAAAAGTTAGAGCCACGTTTTGTATTTTTTATCAATATTTAATACTATGATTGCCTTCTACTGAGAACTGAAGACAAATCTTTTGACATAATAGCAAGTGTATAACCTTCAATAAATAACATGAAATCAAACGACCGAGGTCCACAATGCGCAAATTCTGATTTATTTCCCAATTAAGCACCCTCAGTGAACAAATTGAAGAATCAGGAGTAGTAACACCTAAAGATGTGACAAGAGCGGTGTTGGATGGAAAAATAAAACTCGAAAATTAATGACCAGATAACCAACAATAAAAACTGAAAGTAGCTCAGCTAGGAACAAATATTAAAATGTATAAGTGGGCTCAAGTTCAGGTTACAGAAAATCAACAATGTCATCAGGCATCTCAAGAATTTCTGTATTGAAATATTGCTGCAAGTCACTTAGAGCTTCTACTTCTGATTCAGTGATGAAGTTGATGGCTGTACCTTTTCTACCGAAACGACCTCCTCTCCCGATTCTGTATAAGTGAAAATTATATCATATAATAGGAACAGACCTGTGAATATATGTCTCACGATTACTAGGTAGGTCATAGTTAACGACTAACGAGACTTGCTGTACATCGATACCACGCGCCAGAATATCAGTGGACAGCAAAATTCGTGATCTTCCGCTACGGAATTCCTCCATAACTGCATCACGTTTTTCTTGATCCATATCACTATGCTAGAGGATAGAACATTTAGTAGGTTTAATATGACAAATTACAATGCATGAAACTTGGAACTTCTTGAGCTTAAGCTCATTACAAATATGTGTGGACTTGTTTACAGAATTAACAAAAATGACGACTTGACTTAAATTCATTATTCCATATAGATCCATTAAGGTCTCTAATTTGTAGTCTTCTTTGGATACATTAATATAAAACTGTTTGATCCCATCCAATGTCAATTCTTCTTTCTTAATCAGTATTTGAACAGGATCATGCATTATACTCCGTGCGATGGAAAGTATTGATTTCGGCATAGTGGCAGACAATAGCATGATCTAGTATCAAATGAAATCATACAGAAGTGTAATTACTTGAGCCGTTTCAGGTAGAAATCTATATATTTCTTTAATTTGGGGTTCAAAACCACGATCAAGCATTTGATCAGCTTCGTCCAACACGAAAATCTTGATGTTAGCAGTTGCCAGAGTATTACGATTCATCATATCAAAAACACGGCCGGGAGTACCAACAACAACATGTTGACCCTGTTGAAGACACGCCATATCTTGCGAGGTTCTTGTCCCCCCGATACACGTATAGCATTTGACACACAGATAGGAACCAATGCGTTGAACAACCTGAAATTTCTTATTATTGATATACTAATTACCGTTTGGATTTGTCTTGCAAGTTCTCTGGTTGGCACGAGGACAAGGGCTTGACAAGTATTTGATGAGACATCTATCCTTTGTAAAATGCTGATGGCAAATGTTGCCGTTTTCCCTGTACCGGACTGAGCTTGAGCGATAACATCACGACCCTCTATAGATGGTTTAATAGCTCGCTGTTGAATGGCCGACGGCTTTTCATAACCATAACCATATATACCACGAAGAAGTTCTGGTTTTAAGTCCAACTTCTCGAAGCCATCGACTACTTCATGATAATTAGTTTCGATCTCAGAATCTTCTACCGAATTACTGAAACATTTGCCGAAATCAATATATTAGTGAAATATAAGTACAGAAAAAAATCTGAGAAAGTAACTGTTGATAACCGTTTGTTTACTTAACACAATATAAACAGTCGTACAACCCGCAGAACTATATATTTTTCAAAACTGCCAGCGATTAACGATCTTTGAAAAAATATTTAGTTTTAGATTTCGCGTGAAATGCTTGAACTTCTTTTAATTACATTGTTTTGAATACAAATAAGTTCGTTCACTGAATTCTTCACAGAAACAAATGCACTTATAAGTGGCAAAGATAAAGATCAATAGGTACATCACAGTTTAGGTATTTCGAGTGTGACTACATTGAAGTTCAGTGGGCTTCTTGTCAGTGAACAGTTAGTGGAGCAGTGTGTCAGTATTCAAGGCCTCTAAACTTCACTTAACAAGGCCAAGGTTCGAAATCCGCTCAGCCTACTTCGTCTGAGTAAACTCACAGTATTACGAGCTCTCAAACTGGTTGAAGCCAAGTACACGAATACATGTCTAGCAAACGGAAGTGTTTATGCTGACCCATCAACCAAATAAAGATCCGTCAACCATGAAAAACATCTTTAGTATCGAAAAGTAGAGTATTCTAAACTGTTTCCTGGTTTTAATTTAGAAGTCTCACTAGGAAAATAATTAGGAAACAACTAAGAAGGGTAGATGTCTAGTCAGAAAACTGGGTCACAGAGAATTATGAGAATAAATTGAGGACAGGATTACTTAACAAGTTAAAGAAACTTGTCTCAAGAACTGTATTAACTTGTTAAAGAGCAGTAAAGTGTAGTCAAGGACGTGGGTAAGTACAATAGCTGTTTGCTGATATGACAAAGTTAATATTTGTGACTCGAATCTAAAGAAGAATTCAAATAGTAGGACGTCTGAATCAATATAACTAAGTGATCCCGTACATGTTTGAGTACTTTGAATTATACTTCAAGAGTCGCGTGTATTTCCTGGTCACCAAAACTGAAGTATGTTGAAGAAAGTGGGAAACTTACAGTTAAGTGGTTGAAAGTAAATGAGTAAACTCTTCCACATTATATGCAATCAGCATAATAACTAACAAACTGCCTGGCTGTCCAAACCGAAGTACTTGGAACGAGGCCGACTTTATTTAGTGCGAAATGTGGTTGCGAAAACGTTGAAATTATTGACCGTCAGTGCCTGGACGTTACACCTAAAAACGATAAGTAGATAAGCAATAGGGAACCACATATTCGTGACGATTCCTTCACACCAGGCAGGATGAGGATATCTCGGATACTACGAATATATTGGCGCTAACTGTAACGTCTCCACAAAGCCCGTATTACTAAGCTGGCTGATATTTTAGAATGGTAAACGGTTGATATAGTGTTACTAGCCATATTGGCAATTGTCTCAAAATACTATCTAAATTCCAAATATATAGCTTTATAATCCTGTCAGTTTGCACAGTACTAACCTTATTTAGATAAGCAACAGAATAAATGTCCATGAAGTCTTAAAACATTTTGGGGAAAACTACGTTATATCAAAATGGAATACTAAAGTGGACCAGGATACTGCCTATTCAATTAACTGAAGCAAAAAGACACCTTATCATTGCACAAAGAAACAACCTGACAAACATCATCATATTAAGAATACATGAGTGAAATAGCTAAAGTGGACTCTGTTGACATACTACAACACATGTAAGAGTCCTGCGACTTAAGGCAGTAGTAGACATTTCAACATGTAAGTCGGTTTTCAGTTCACAATAGACTAACCAATCTCAACGAATAATAATGACATCTTGGTGTGCAGAAAGTTCGTGCTAGGAAAATCCGGAATGAGATTGCAGGGTATGCCATAATCAGGTCATAAAGTCATATATGATCTGATAAATAGGATCATACGCTGATAATGCGTATTGAAAATGAACTTTCAAGGTATACCAATTCTTCATGCAGGCTTTTTAGGAGTTTAAACGAGCGTTGTGATTTCAAAAAGATTTACCAAATTGAAAAATCTATTAGTAGCTAAGAGCCAAATCTTTTTATAAAGGAAATAACATGCAATTAACGGACCTCATAACAAACAACTAAGCGTGACAGAAGTCCAAAGCGCGCTCTTCCTGATGTGAAGACTTTTCGAAATACTATTTGACTAAACACAGTATAAAAATACTAGTCTAAGACACATAAGATATCATGCCATCCTTCGATTAAATCACATTAATTTTATTATTTAACCGTATTAAAGTGCACGTTGTTGAAATTGTTACTAGGCTATCCAATGAATACAAATCTCAGCACCTGTGAGTATGTTTGTCTGTCAAAAATACATATTTAGTCAGATCATCTCGATCTACTGTGAAGAGGAAAAGTACGAAGCATCTTTCTCAAGTTTCTGTAGATGTCAGGTTTAACAAAACATTGGCGAAACTAGAGGCTCATGTTAGACCGAAGTATATTATGAGAGATGTCACTGATACTCAAGACATGGTGACGCCTTTGTCCGTAACACCATAACGTCCCCAAATGCCCTGATATGGCCGAGGGTGGAGAGAGTCAGCTTTCCCTCTCGTAATGTTATCAAATGGCCACGCGTATACAGCCTCTGCGAGGAAATTCCTACTCACTGCCTTCCTTTTATCATTATTATTATTATTAATGGCTTTATTCAATATTATAATCTGGTACAATATAGAATTCTCAGCACGAGTTATTTCAACAAGTTTTTTACCAAAAAACAAAAAAAACAAAAAAGAACAGAAAAGGAATGAAAAAGGTTTAAGAAAAACTGGGTTTATACAAATTATCGAATTTGAAACATGCTTAAGAATACATTACTGTTGATTACGAAATTGAGGGGACGAAAAGTGAATGTCCGGAACTGGAACCTGGTTGATGAACACTGAGGGTCTACCTAGAAGAGTTGGAAAACCCTGATTTCGAATCAATGGTGCATAAGTGTTCCAGGATCCTCAGGGAACAAATGGCATATGAACCTATTGTCAGTCACCAGCTAACATGAGACTGTATCTCCCTACGCTGCTCCACTGCCTTTTGCATTAGACCTTTAGGTCGAGGGCTCGGAAAGTGACCTCCTAAGAAAACCACTTGCTCCGGTCTGGGCACCCGGGCGGTATTGAAGCCCACACAAAACTTAAATAACTTATATGGCGCATCTGTGTTTCGTGCCTCCTTTTACCAATATATTCATGTGTTCAAATAAATCAATAAATGAATAATAAAGCCTTATCAATCGAGTATCAAAAACGCAGTCAAATCAGAAGTCAATGATATCTGAGTTAGAAGACATACTTGGAAGTTGGTCGGTGTGTTGGGAATTATATGACCTAAACTGATTGTTCGTTACGAGGTCTGCGTAGCACAGGGTACCTAATGGTGATCGGGTACGGATGCTTGACAGAGCGTCTTTACAGACTGCAAGGAGCTGGTCGAACACTTTGCACGAGAAAATAGATTTATACGTGTATTTATACAATGAGGCCGTGAGAAAGTTGACACAAAAAGTCTTGTTCCGATATTTTATAGAGAATAATATAAACAAATATGTGGGCATATTGAAAATATTTTGATTTGTTTACTCAACAAAATCTATCTATAAACAAATTTAGATGAATCGGTTTCTCGTTTCTTGATGCAACAAAATTTGATAATACAGTCAAATAGCAGTGGCACGCTCGATAGTAGTTAATAAGGAGTAGTCTAACATACGATGTCCAACATGTATAACATACGATTGTCATCCAAGTGCCCTGGGAACCTCTCGAAACTCCCAGCGTGTAATGTTGTAGGCTAGTTGTCAGATACCAAGGATGTTTCGGCGTAGACATTAACTCTCAGGGACTGCATCGTAGTCGTGGTATTTTCTTATCGTTCGAAAGTTTGGGTGGTACCATCGAAAAAGGGGTTTCCCCTAAGAAATCAGATATTGGCCTGTTGATATAGATCTTAAGTTCCGTTCCTACCAATGGCATAGCACTAAGGTTTGGACTTTAAAGGACTCTTACGGTACTTCGTATGCAGCTTCGAGGGGTAGGGTGATGGTTCGCGACATGCGAAAACGTGCACACAAAATAGTTTGAATGAAAACAACAGTCAATTATAATCGAGTAAAAGCAGGTTCGCTTGAATGAAACGCGTTTATAAGCTTGCTTATGCAAGAGTTTAGATCCACGTTCACTGAAGAAGTTGACTTAACCACAAATTCTTCCGGAAGTTGAAGCGTCGTTTCGTAAACCACTTTAGCTACACTGCATCTTACGTCGGTCATTTCTGGATTACGAATTCCGAGTAACAGGAGTGCCTGCTTAACGGTAAATATTGATACATTGGCATCCGAATGTAAAGCTTTCGACTAACAATGAAAGCTGTCTACCAACCCTTTGGTTTGTGTGTGGTAAGCGGTTGTCCAGAATCATGTAATGCATCCTTATTCATATCAGACCAGCAAAATCGTTCTCCTGTGAGCTTGATGGTAGCACCATTAACTCGACGAGGAAGTTTGCACATTGTATTGAAGACACTACGTCGATGATGTTTCGGTAAGATTACACGACCCCATCCCCTGTAAATGCATCATAGTTTCCTCACCTATTTCCATCTGTTCGACCTCATAATCTAGGGGTTGCCGTTGACAACTCATGCTGAAGATCAGTGTCTTCCTTTGGAATCTAGGCGGATTTAGGAGTCTGCATCCTCTTGAAACCGTTCAAGGAAGCTATAAGATGCAAAACGTCTGTGACTAGATTATTTGACGCATAAATTTGTTGTATATTTGAAGTAAACTGCGAAATTTAATCGGGTATTCTAGGCTCTCGCGGGGATCGCTCGTCTAAAGATGAGCTGAGATGGTAAGAGGTTCGTGGTGGGTAAACGGAGTGAATTCTCGGCCTTCCACAGTGTTGAAAGTGCTGTACAGCACAGAATATATCTAGATGTCTCCTGTCGAAACTTCTGTGCCTCGATTCAGTGACCTGCAACCGTCTCGAGAATAATGCCAGAGGTTGTGAGATTTGGTTAACCCATGGTCGTAAGACTCCTCTTATTGTTGAGTCGGATGTGTCTACTGCAATACTAATGAATGCTTCGGTGTCCTGGTGTGGGAATACAACCGCTTTTGTGATAAAATCTTTTACTGTGAACAGTGCTTTTCTCGCGCTGTCGTCCAAATCGATGAATTCTGCATTTACACGAAGTGAGTCTGTTAAGGGTCTCATGATAGGCGCGCAATTTGGCATGAACCGTTGATAGAAACGTGCCAGGTCGTTGGACATAAGTAATTGCTTGACAGCGGTCTCTTTTGGTGTAATCCGGAATGGCCGCCAATTTGCATTTCAGGAGGCGGATGCCTTGGACATAGTGTGTCCGAGAAGATCTAGGGATTCGGCTACGACTCGACATTCCTAAATGTTGAGAGTAATACAATTTATTCAGGTCGTCGGAAAACAAGGTCCGGATGCTTGAGGTTGTGTTGTCTATCCAGATTCAGGATCAACCATCCATTAACATAGATGTAAAGAAAGTCGAGATCTCTGAGAACATCACCAATGAATTTCTAGAAAGTTTTTACTGACCACTTATTTGACTCTAGCTATATCGTGTGATGGCTTATCGAAACACACATAGCGGCTACACTTGTATGTAATGTTCGACTTAAATGGCGTAAGTAAATGACAGAATGAAAACACATCTAATACATGAGTGAATTTCGAATACGTATGTATCATACACCTGTTGATTTAGACAGAATATCAAAGCGACGAAGCGAAACGAAATGACGCGCAGTGGAGAAGGTAAGTGAGCCAACTATATTTAACTAAGCGCGAGTTAATGTACTTAGTCAAACAAAAATAAATTACAGATATGTGATGAATAAAGTAGGCATTGCAGTCAAACACGATCGTATAAAAACAGTCACGATTAATAGGAAGATAGGTGACGAGGTCAAGGTTTAGCTTGAGAAGAATGGATAAATAGGTGTTCAGAAGCTCTAATAACCTATGTGGGTTTGACACAGAGCCTTCCACTAAAAGTTTGTGTGGAACTTCTTAAGCAAAAATTGATATGCAAGATGCATAGGATTTGAAGGGAGTGATGAGAGCCGTTATAAGTACGTCGCCCGCGGTCACAGGATTTTGATTATACACTTTAGCCAAGTCGGTTCTCGAGGGACATTCATACTTCTCAAGGTCGCCCTCAGTTCGTGGATGCGGCAAAGGATAACAAAGGTGAGTGCTTTCCTTATTGAATTATCGATAGTCTCCTCTTGGATGTCAGTCGTTGCAGCTTTTTCTGAGGAGCACGTGCTTATTAGATGCTCATGAGCTGTTGAATGGTCAAAAAATTCCCATCACATGTGCCAATCCGTTCTTGACCAAACCTAGCTTTTCGCAGACCAGTCGGCAACTTTTTTGAAAATACAGGTGAGCCTTAGTGTTTACGTGATGTGTAAGACTGTTAGTTACAATGGGTAATTTTTGTTGTGTTTTGTGAAGTTCATGGTATCCGTTGAGTGTCCATTGGAGGTATGGATCTATTTTATGTTTTAATCATGACCAGGCATAATCTACAGCCAGAACATGAAGTCTCGTTAACAGATAACTGCCGTCTACGAACCTTCGCGTACCCGGGTCAACCAGTACTTTACGGCTTGTAGCAGGTCCACGCTAATGATTGGCATAGTTGTGTCCGTGCCAACGAAAATCCAATCGATAAGTTTACGTAAACCCACGTTAACGTAGGCGTGACTAACGATTTTCATTTTTCGTCTGTGCGTTGGAGACTGCATTTTGTGGGTGATCATTATCCGTGGGAAGGACGCTGACTTCTTCGCCAGCATCAACGAAGCAATCAACCATCGTTATCGATTCAGTGATGTGTAACAGGAAGTTTTATACGCCGGCTACAGTTGCCCTTAACATGTGCCTTTTGATGAGCTACCTGAAGGTTTTTTGTGACAGAAATCATGAGGTTGGAGAAACTAGTGTGGAAATCGACATCTTTCATAACTAGCTTCTTTGACAGATTTTAAATCGTCTACGATCACGACGAGAAGCTATAAGACTATTGACAGCATAAAAGAGCTTGGCAATTTCGTCTTGTGTCGATTGAGCTTTTTCCT